GTCCCTCCTGCTCCCCTGGAAACCAAGCCTCCTCCTCACTCAGGCCTAGGGCCTCCCTGCTGCCCTACATCAGCCCAGGAGGCATTGACCCCTTCCTGAGCATAAAGGTCAAAGTGCTCTGGCGAGGGCTGCCCCTTCTGCCTTCCCTCCCCCCACCCCCAGTTCCTGCCTGTGCTCTCACGCTGTGGGAGGGTCAGCCGGGCACTGGACAACGGGCTGCTGGGTGTGGGTGGGCCACCCACCCGGCTGCTGACTCCCTTCAGACTCCTCCCAATGTGGAGCCCGCCCCGCCTTCCCTCTGCTCTCCCAACCTCCCTCCTGCCCTCCCTCACTCCCTCTACCCTCCCACCCTCCCTCCTTCTCTCCCTTCTCTCTCCATCCCTCTGCTCTCCCAGACTTCAGGTTCAATAAAGGTGCCCCATGCCCAGCTTCTCACTGTTGTCCAGGGTTAGCACAGTGCCATGCCTGTACTGAGGGCGCTTGCTCCTTGGGGAGTGGGGAGTGCATGTGGGTTGGCAGAGGGGGCCAGGGAGCCTTCAGAGTAGGCCTACAAGGTGGCCCTAATGGGCTGGGGGGTGGGCACCAACCTCCCCAGCCTGCTGGTGGGGTAGTCCTGGTAAGGGGGCCCCCAGGTAGGCCTGTGGGATGAAGCGCGGGCACTGGATGTGGACAAGGGGAGACAGGAAGCAGCGAGGGGTGTCTACACTCCTTGGGTGTGCAGGTTGGGCGAGCTCCAGACCAGAGGTTCATATGGCCTTTTCCCTGGGCATCAGTGGGGAGCTGTGAGGTAAGCAGAGGGGCCCTCTTGGGGACAAGGACCCCACACTGTAAGGGGAAGAAGAGCCATGTAGAGAGAGACGACCAGGTGTGCACAGGACTGGGGGCCAGCCTGTAGGACCCACCCAGATGTGGGGGACGTTGTCCCACAAGTTAAATTCCTGCCCAGGACCAAGGGACACCCCTCAGGTCTGGGCCAGGCTCAGGGTAAAACTGCCCCATGGGAGTTTCCAAATGTGGCGAAGAAAGCTGATGGTGCCCGGCTATCATCTGGAGTCCTAAAGGCTTGAAGGTAAGCAAGCGGCCGTCTAACTCAGAAGCAACAAAGCCCACGTGGGAGAAGCACATCAGCCTGTGCGATCACTAGGTGTCAAAGGGATTAGGTATCAGGCATCATCAGAACAAAAAAT